GAGCCCAGAGGAGGGAGCAAAGGAGGTGAAGGCGTGGGGACAGAAAGTGGAATTGAAAGCAGACAACAGAACATTGCTAGAGAGCAGGAAAGGAGGTGAAAGGAGACAATTTTAGAGAAGAAAATTTTTCGGTCGCTACCCAGATTCGAACCCGGGACCTTTGAGAGAGAGGCCAACATCTTAACCTCTAGGCCACGAGAGCCCCCACATAATACTTTACCTGAGCCTTAACATTAGCCTGCACTTTGATGAGTTTTAGCGTACCAGTCAGATCTAATCATCCTCAGTGTCGTCTTTACACAGCTCGCTCCAGCGTGGTTTGAAAGGGTGCGGAAATCTACGCCTGACTTTAGTTTCAGTAATGTTTTACGGCGCTCGCAACTGCACAAGGTCATACGAGCTCCAAGGGGTGGATGTCAACAGAGAAGTCCAAACGCCTGATTTTAATGGTGGCATCGGTGATAATGATAATACAACATACTTATGTGCTTCTTATATTTCCATGATAAACTCTTTGCATAATACGGGCAATATTATTTTCAGATTGTGCGTTCGTTTTATTTAGTTGCTTTTAAAGAGAGGACTAAACTATCTCGTAGTTTAGGAACTTAAGGGAACAGAAAAGGTCTTACCCATATTTTGAAAAAAATATCATTACTCAATACCAGTGTATTATCTCTAATATCAGTAATACATACTTTACTTTTACGATCCAGTGGCCATTTGAGTTCTAGCCCTTCGGCTTGAATCTCTAACACATAAAAAAAGAATCGATAGTAGCAGAAAAAACAGGCTCAAATTTCCGGAGCTCTTTTGAGAAACCCACCTCTTCGTTGAGAAAGCAGAAGAGCAGGGCGAGGAGAAATCCCTGGAAGGAGTTGTAGCCCATCTCCAGGTATAGATAGGCCACGTTGAAGTCTGTCTCCTCGAAGTTGGACGGCACAGCCACGTAGAACACAATGTACATGATGCCGAACAGAGGGATCAGCACCAGGATGAATTTGGCCAGCTTTCTGGGAAAGAGAAGAAAAAAAATCATCATCCTCATCATCCTCATCATCATCATCATCATCATCATCATCATCATCATCATCATCATCATCATC